CAATAATTCAGTCTTACGGTTCAATATTTTTTCGATACAAAAAAAAATTACGTGCCCTTCTTAACTTTCAGTTTATTGAAATTAATTATCAACATTTGTTTAACCTCAAAAGCACAGTTTTTAAATTAAATGTTGCTGAAACAGCAAGTTTCTCAGTGGATCTGCGCTCGACAATGCAGCCTAGGTGGAGTAGTCGAACACAGATCCACTGATCCTTCAACACAGAGCATCTTCAGAAGACAAGCTGATTAAAAAAATCTGTATTGTTTGATACAAGTGTGTATTGAACCTAAAGCACTGTATTGAATGGTTCGATGAGGGTACATGCATTGTTGCACCCCTTAAATATATATATCATTTTTGACCATATATATTGCATTCACTAACACTACAGAATGCTAAAGTGACCAGTCTATCGCTACACACAAATTAATATTTAAGGAAGTCATATGACAGTTATAAATGTCCAAGCAAAATAAATGTCAGCAGATGGAATCAGTGTTCCGATCCGATGTCAATATCAGACATAGGTCCAATCCTAGCCAAAAAATGAATATTGGCTCAACCTGCATCTAAAAACTCTGATACAAGCAGTCCATTCCAGTTGTCTGCTCCAGTATTTCAATCCAGCATGAATAACTTAAGTGACCTTGAATTKWTATTCAGTAATTGACTGTTGTTTACTATTGTTCACTGTTTGACTTGATAAAGACGTTTTAAGATTCCACACTACAAAATAAATAAAAGTAAGTAGAATTTGTTCTGGTATCATATTGGGTTGACATTGGTATCGGCCAGCATTCAAGTCTCCAAAATCTGTATGGTATCGGAAAGGTTGTATCGGGACACCCTTAATGCATATAAGGTTATAAAAAGGGAGTGAGCTGTTTCTATTGGGATAGATTATTTACATGTGAGGAGATGTTGGACATATAGTTACTGTTTCTCAAGATTAGAAGTTTGTTTTCATAAACGCACATTTGTATAATGCAACAAGTGCTTAAATAATGCAGAATGATGCAGTTCTGTCAGCAGTGTGGTACAGTAGGTGGTTGTAAAAATTCAGACAAAGCCTCTTCCACATGGAATTATTTGCAAGATGATCTGAAAATACAGATACTTGTACCTAAAGGTACTATAGGTGCTGCCTATAGGCTGACATTGTAAATATAAAGTTATTCTTAATGTCTTGACTGGTATGATAAAGGTTAAATAAAATAAAATAAAAAGTTATGTGAAGTCTGGGTTTTCTCCATGTTATTGAACAGGTTTTCATCTATCGTAATGAAATTACAGACAGGGAGGCTTAGTCTCACCACATAAACCAGCAGACAAACAAATGCTAACAGATACTGTCCTTCATCAGGATTTGAGTTTTATTTGCTGGGTTTCTCAGCTGGTTTCAGATTTTCTTGGTGTATTTGCTTCAGTGTGGAGGTCATCTTGTTTGCCTCATGTCCCTGTGGGATTTTTTTTCTAGCCCTCAGTGTAAACACAAAACACGTCGCATGAATCGGAGACTCTGTAGTTCTAATCTGCACACAGGTTGTTATGGCTTCGTGGTGATTTTCCCAACACGGCCGACTTCATAAATAAATGTCCTGGACATGCTCGTGGCTTTGGTGCTTTTTACTTCCCACTTTTGCCTTGACTCTGGTTTTCTGGCTAAATCTAAAATATCTCAAGTCTCAGTTACACTTCAACTCGGTGTGTACCCATGCACGAAATTATGTCTGATGTCAGTTTTGGAAGCATTAAAAGAGTTTGTGATTTTCTAAAAATGTTTTGTTTATAACTTCCCTATCACATTACAATAAGTTCCAAAGGTTATTCTTCAGACTGCAAGAGACAACACAACTGCTCTCACTGCTTCACGAGTTGTTTTAATTCATCTCTGCATCACTGAATACCTCCACATAAATAATCTGACAACAGCTGTTTCCCACAGCTTCTCTCTCTGTTTTACTTTGTCCTCCAAATGAGTGTGGTTGATGTTAACTGGTTCCTCTGAAGCAGCGCGACCCTTAAATCACCATCAATACATCATCTCTGAGCAGATTTGATGTACTTAAATGGATTTTGATGAGAGTTCACGGCCTTGTGTTTGGCTGCGAGCCCAAGTTCCTCTCTGAATGGATCCTCTCGGTCAGAAGGAGCTCTGCTGATGGCTCCCTCTGTTTGAGAGGCGGCTTTGAAGAGATTCCGGCCTTTTGAAGTGAATTACCCATGACTGTGTCCCGGTGACAGCGAGAGGCCGGATGGTCAGAGCAGACAACCAGAGGCAGCTCAGGGAGCCCAGTTTTAGTTTGACACGTATGTCCTCTGTTTTTCCAGGTGATTTTTGAGGACCCGATATGAGACTGAATGTGGTTGTAACTATGATGACGTCAGGGTGGGGGGCCCTCTCCCCTTGTGGACTCGTGTTGGTCATCAGTTGGTCCTTGTGTCTGTCTCAGCAGCCAAACATCAAACCTGCAGACTGCAGCAGAAAGGAGCACCCTGTCGTCTCTTACCAAGGTAGGGATGTCTGCTTGTTGCCCTGTAGCTTCTAGAAATTACACTGAAATTACCACCAGGTGATTAATAAACTCCACCTACAATTCAGTCTTCATCAATCGACAGACTTAATCAGCTCATACGTGACGGCTCAGCCAATCCATTGTTTTGCTGCTGAAGTTAACTAGATGTAAACACACATCTGTGACCACATAGCCATAAAAAGCTGTGCCAAGTTGTGAGTAATTGTAGAACAATGGYCGGTTTGGTGCTGCTGCATCCGTACAATGCCCAGATATATCAAATTCCCCTGCACTACGTTGGAAACACTCCATTGATGAACACTGACTCATTTCTTGACATCCAATGTAATAAATGATGCCGTAAGTTCTACCAAACCCCTTAGTGCCCTTGTGTTTACASTAATTAGGTTATGCATTTTTAGCACCCCCATTTCACTTTATTAATTTAAAATACCACTGTTTATTTGTGTACAGCAAATGATGTCCAACAAGACTGGATGAGAGGCATCTTTCGCTTTATATTTGACTATTTAACCTTTCTGTTTTTATGCCCCACTGCCTTATTTAGGAGCATTTCTCGCTCACATTTTGTCAAATTGCTAATTTTCCTGCATCTGGACATCTTTTTTTGACCATGCGGAGAGGAGATTCACATATTTCAGGACATATTTTCATATGTTTGCATACTTAAATGTCAGGGGAGGAGTTTTATGTGTGCTTCGTTCCATTGTGGTTGGGATACTTGAAGGAACCATGCACAGTTTTGAAGAAATTTGTTGGGGTTTGCTTATATTCTGATCTTAATTACACTACACGTGGTATAAAAGTGAATATTTTTGTGCGTATGCAATTTTCACAATTTGTCTTTGTGCAATCTTTTGGTATGAAAGYTGCACACTATTTGATTCATAAGGCCTCTAGTTTTTCTTCTTTGCCTTACCATCAGTAATTACTGGTTAGATAAAATTATTATGGAACCTGTCCAGCAGGATTTAGCATTAAAAATTGCTGCAGTTGATAATAAATAACATAACTATAAAACAGTGATCAGACTAAATTAGTGTTTTATCAAGAATGTTGCTCAGGTTGTTCCACATTAAAACTGCTCTAGCCGAAAAACCTCAAAGTAGACAAACAACAGAACCGATACTGCAGGCTGGAATTGAGTCCCTAAAGTAAATGGTGCATTGCAGGACATCGTCTCATATGCTTATTTGCGGGGGAAAACAGCACAAGTGGAGCCTAAATTTCTAATTTTTGTTGTTAACTGAAAAAGGTCAAAGGAATTAGAAGAAATCTGCTGCTAAAAAAACAAATCACCTCTTTGTCTGAGCTGCAGGATTAGTGTTTAGAACTTTAGAACATAAGCGTGTGCATAAAAGGCCTGCATTTCGCTCCTTTTTCACAGGTCATTAGATACACAGAGGCAGGCAGTTTCTATCCAACAGCTTCCCAAAAACTAGAGGAACTTCTTCTGAATTTATTTTTAAAGTGAACCTGAGACCAGAAAACCTTTTGAAATGCGTCACAGTGTTTGTGAGATCCTTCATCCATGTGTCGGTTCATTTTGTTCATGAAGTGAGACAAACTAAACGTTAGAGATGCCAGTGAGTTCAGTCTTAGGAATTGTTTGTGGTTTAATAATTTACACTTTTTTATTGTGTGCCAGCAGCATGGTCTCATTAAACACTTTCTTCAGCTCTCTAATAATATCAAAAGGTTTTTGATGGTGTTGTTATGACTGGGTGCCGGTTTGCATTCAGCTCAAACTGCAGGAGGTTTACCAACACTGTCCAACGCTAACGTTAACAGCTGAAGTAACCTGTATGGATGCGACATAATTTAGTGTTATCCTAATCAGCCATCTTTAGACAAGAAAACCTATCCTGCCTTCCAGATGTGGAAACTAAATCCAGCTGTTCGTTTCACATCTWACTGAACCCCCAGTCTCGTGTCGAGCTCAAAGGTTGATGGGAGGTTGTCTGACTGAGGGATCAAGTGGTCAGATTAGATTTGGCTGAAAAAATGTGATAACTCATTTAAAAACAGGTTAGGGAGAAGGAGTTAGGTGAGAAGTTAGAGGATGATTGCTGGAACAATGCTTTACAAAGAGTAAACAATAGTACCTTTTGTGCAAAACTTGGCACAATACAATTTAAGGTTCTACATCGCAGTCATTATTCCAAAGCAAGGTTGGCAATTTTTTTTCCTAATGTAGATGCAGGTTGTCACAGGTGTCATCAAACTGCTGCAAACTTGACACATATGTTTTGGACCTGCCCCTCCCTGACTACTTATTGGGTGGTAATCTTTAAAACACTATCAGCG